GTGCCGAGCTAGAGATATATCTATGTGCTGAGCACATAAATGATTGCAAGAACCAAATAATGTAGATTAAATAAGGCAGATATATCAGTTAAAAAATGGACCACGGCATTATTACACTCGGGTGAGGGTGTAGACCAGCGGTATTATAACCCTCGGGTGAGGATGTAGGCCACGGTATTCTAATCTCCGGGTGTAGGTGTAGGCCACAGTATTCTAACCCCGGGGCATAGGTGTAGGCTTTTGCTGATGGGGCTCCGTACCGAGTGCGAAGATTACGCTATGCTCGGAGACTTTTGCTGATTTTAAGTGGCGATTAAGCGCCAATTTTGCAAGGATTTTGAATAATGCATCCTATGTCAGTGATGGCCTATACCGAATGAGGTAGATGTGTTAATCACAAATAATATTGCTCCGCTTGTAAGGAATTGCCAAGTAGATATTGGGCCAACTATTTAATTACTGAGTAAATTTTGGGCAAATTAGCATTGCTCGGTTTACATTTAGTCTAATGTAGACTTGCCCCATTGCTTTCAAAGGACAGTGGTTATTCAGAAGGAATTCGGAATAGACTTGAGCCAAAATTTCGGAATGATGCGGGTTGTTATAGTGGCTGGAAGACGCCATAATTGTTGAATTCGACATTGATCAAATGCTAGGCTTGGCAGCAAAAGTGTTATTTGCGCTGCGATATATGACACTGCATATAAAATCTACAAGTTTTGGGTATGAAATTTGCAAAATCAGACCATACAAATGTGTGCAAAAGGCTCCAAAAAGTTGAAAACGACTATTGGATCGTTGTAATCGAACTCCGGATGGTGTCGTTGTAGCTAAAAGGAATCTGACGGCTCATATCAATGGAGACTAGTGCTCCGCAATTCACTAGATAATGCTCTGAGATATGTTGAGTGAGATGGCTAGGCTCAGCTTGATGGCTTGCGGCTCGGCTTGGCTAGGAGCGACTTGACTAGATGGCTTGTCAAAAAATAAAAAGAAATTGTTGCCAACAAGACTTGAACTCATGCCCATATAGAGAAGGTATAGGACTTAACCACTTTGCCACAACAGATTTTGTTCTTTATAATTGGCAAGATATATATTTGAACTTGATTGTGGTTCAGCCATGTGGAGCATAGCTGCAACACACATAAGAATTTAATTGGCTGCCAACTTATGGTCGTCTTCTCCAGCGAAGTATTGAAATTGCTCGGCAAATTTCAACGGCCTCGTACGGCTTCGTCTGAGCTTTTTATTTTGACACAATTTAGTGTGTTGGACTCGTTTCAATGACTACTTCACACTAGTATGATCAAAACTTGATTTTGACAATGTTGAAAATTTTAGTTTGCAGAAACTTTGGTATGTTCCGCAATTACTAGCAAACTTCGGTTACTTCTTGGTTCTGTGGGTTGGTGGGTTTGGACTCTTTGAGTTGACACGAATCCTCTGGTATATTCAGAAGTTAACTTCGGTGAACCGAGATGCTAGTTCTATGCCAAGATAGTATCGCCGAGCAATATTGTTGTACTTCCAAGAAGAAAATCATGAGATTTTTGCCAAAGAGGTTGATAAATTAACAATTGTAGTTGTTATTCCGAGAATGTCCAATGCTGTGGAGTGTTGATGTATGCGTGACCGAGTAGTCTTGTCGAGTAAGCAATGTTAGTCGAATACTATTGCCGAATAAGTTGCCAAAGCTGAATAATGTTGCCGAAGCCAAGATAATATACAGAGTTTATAATGTTAATATGCAGTTGATAATAGGATGAAGATATGCCGAATTGTAGAGGATAGTAATGCGGTATGATGTTTTTCTGAATACTGTACAATTCAGAGTTGATAAGCAATGCCGAAGCCGAATAATGTTTCCGAAGTCGAGTTGATAATATGATATACCAAATTGCAGAGTCGACATTGGGCCTTATGGATGTAAGTTGGTGCGTTGGTGGTTGCCGAATAGGTATAGTTGTGATAGTCGAATCTTGAGGTATGTTTTGGACAAATAGTCAGAGCCGAAACTGAAGCCAAAGACGACGCTGAAGTCGAAGATGGCGAATTCAAGCTCGGAATTATTTTGACCATGCATTGTTGGTTATTACAGATATAGTATTGGCTTCGTCGTCGTCTAAGCTGTTTGCCAAGCTCTTGATGTCGATAATCCTCGTTGTCTTCGATTGTTCTTGCTGTATGAGTTTCTTGGGTAACAAAGTTTGGTGATTGATTGTTTGTCGATCAATCCGTGTCAGCGACGAAGGATCTGAGAAGCCAAGGAAACTGTGTACAAAGCTTGTTCATAGCCATAGATTTTCCAATGTACCCATTTGCTGTGTAGAAGTTCGAAGAGGATTCGTGAATTGGTCCTACATGACTGAAGTTGCCGAATTGAAGTTGGGGCGAGTCAGCCATTCGGCTTATTGAACCACAACACAATTCTTTAATTCATGTTAATTGTTAGCACATGCACATGTATGTATATTCCAAAAATCAACTTTTGTGAGACAATAATTTAATAAATAAAGTCCTAGGTGGGTTTGGCCGGGTAACCCTCTTTGTAAGGCCAAAAAGATGTTCTCACAAAGAGAAGTGTGAAACCCATTTTTAGAGAGAGAAAATATAGACTCAATTGTAGATCACTACCTTCGTCTCATGCTTTCAACTTTTCTAAACAAAATTAATATTTATTTGATAGAATCTGTGAGCATAAAGATAGAGACATATACATACATATATCGATATATGATATTCAGAAACATAATCAAAAAGGGAGAAGACAAAGACCAAACTGTAGATAGCACACTGGTTCGAGCTCCTTAAGAGTGGTGTTTGTTCTGCTCTTCAATGAATTCTCAGACGATTCCCACAGATGGCGCCAATTGTGAGACCATGAAATATCCTCTCACATGGATTGTAGAGATCCAACGAAGAGATGAACTTTGTCCCTGTGTATCTGCAAAGATAAGCATGATCGGCGCCACCCAACCGAGGTTGCCAGCCGGAGACACTCCGATGGTAAAGTTAGTCTTTTGATTGAAAGAATGAATGCATAGAAATGAAGAGTATTTGTGTGCTGTGTGGGGTAGAGAGATCACCTACCTTCTTCTCTGGGATGCCCTCCTCTTTATATAGATGGGGGGGTCTGATATTTGTTTGGGTTATACTCATTGTAGTCCTTGTTTGGTTTAGTCCCAATAAGTTGATATATATTTTTTTCTGGCTCCCACAATTTGTTTTAAATATTATTTAAATGAAAATATTTTGAAAATATCACTATTCACTTTTTGACAAATTTAAAATTGATTAATTGTATTATTTTGACAAAATTAATTGATTGGTTGGCTAGTGACTATTCACTTTTTGATAAATTTAAAATTGATTAATTGTATTATTTTGACAAAATTGATTGATTGGTTATATTATTTTGACAAATGTGATATTGATGATTTGTTTCCTTTTGATATATTCACATGGTATGATTGGTTATTTTTATTTGAGTGTATTTATAATCTCTTCAACAATTACAAAATTTTTAAAAGGGGTATATATATATATATATATATATATTGATATGAATATTATTTAAAGAGATTTACTGTGTCAAATATTTTAAATAAAAAAAATAAATTAAAAAAAATTATTATATACAAGTCACTATGTAAATCTGTTTTCACATTATTGTTTTAGAAAAAGGTTAGCAGATTACTATTCATTGAGAATGACTTGACCAACATTTTCAAACTTTTGTGGTTACTCCACGTGATTAAAAAAACAAAGTAAAAAAAGAGCATCTTGAGCTCATGTCATCCATCATCAGAAGAGGAGCGTCTCTCCTCCCAACGGGTAAATTTTTGGGTATAAATAGAAATATTGTGTGTGGAGAAAAATTAAGAACTTGAAGAAAAAAAATCAGTGTTCTCCAAAGTTTTGAGTATTTTGTACTCTATTTTTTCACTTTCAGATCTAAGTATTGCCTTTTTTTTTACACTTTCATATCTACTCTTTAAGAGAAAATTATTGCAAAGAGCGTTAAAATACCTCTTACTTTTATCCATTATTTTGTGAGAAAATTTTGTAAGAGTGACACATTCATTGTTAAGTGAGTCTCAATAGATAAAAGTAAGACCTCTGTAAAATCCACAAGCTTGGTGAACTTTTGGTGGTATATTGATTCATTTTGATAGTAAAGAAATTCTCGAGGGGGTTTGTTATAGAATGGACGTAGGCCCGACATGCCGAACCACTATAAATCTCAGTTTTTTATTTTCTCTCCCTATCTCTATTACTTTTATATTGATAATTATTGTTCTATTTTTATTTGTTGAAATTCGAATATTGTGTTTATTATTTTTTAATATTGTAAATTTTTTAATAACCCAATTCACCCTCCCTCTTAGGTTGTTTACTTGGGATAACAGAAATAACTAAGCGTGGAAAGAAATTTTTGGACTATTTACAATCCTCAATTGGATTGGTTTACTCATCTTTCATTTGAAACAATTTTTTGCCTGAGTTTTATTGTGGTTATTTACTAATGTGTTTAAGCAAGTTTATTTGCTTGTAATAGTTGTACCAATTTTTTACATTGTTTGTAATTTGGTTAGTAATTTTTAAATTTCTTGTAAGCGTTGGACCTTGGTTTGTTTTAACCTAGTTCATCCCTTGGAAAAACCTAATTCTAAAACTTGTTTCCCATGGACTAGGAGTCAACATGCTTTTGAAAGTTTTGTCAAAAGGTTAACTGGGTTTTAAGTAGGACCGATGTGACCCATCCAGTCTTCTTGAAAATATTCTTGATCATGTTTGATTCTAGGTTAAGTGATGAGACTAATTTTGAATTAAATTTCTAACTATGGGATTTTCTAGTGTTAAGTTTAATTTCTGGAAACACAGAAAGTGAAAGTTTGTAGTATTTTTCAGAAATGGCAACTGTCACCGATGCTGTTGCTATTGCTAATGTTGGTGGGGATTTAAACCCCGGGGCAACTGGCTTGCCAACCCTAACTATGACCTCTGTGGTCAACCTTGGTATTACTTCGGCTATTCTGGGAGGACTGCTCAGTCACCATGAGCGCCTAGAGAAATTTGTTAGGGTGAACTTCAAGAGATGGCAGCAAAAGATGCTGATCTATTTGACCACGCTGAACCTTGCAAAGGTTTTGAGCGAGGATCCTTTAGTCATGGCAGAGAATGAACCAGACAGGCAGAAGATCATGGCACTTGACACATGGAAGCAGATAGACTATCTTTATCGGAACTACATGTTCAACAGCTTGGCAAACTCACTCTACATTGTGTTTTGTGCCAAGAGCTCAGCAAAGGAGCTATGGGAATCTCTGGACAAGAAATATAAGACTGAGGATGCCGGGGCAAAGAAATTTGTCATCGGCCAGTTCCTGGGCTTTAAAATGATAGATTCACAAACTATGATAAGCCAAGTCTAGGAGTTCCAAGTGATTTTGCATGAAATTCATGCTAAGGGGATGCCTTTAAATGAGTCATTCCAAGTTACCGTGATCATTGAGAAACTTTCCAATGGTTGGAAGGACATTAAGAACTACTTGAAGCATAAGTGCAAGGAAATGTTAGTTGAAGACTTGATTGTTTGACTTCGAATTGAGGAGGATAGTAGAAAAAAAGGAGAGAGTACCTCCTCTGTGAAGGCCAATGTCATTGAGCATGGCAAATCTTCTGGGGTGAGGAAGAAGCCCACTGTGAACAAGGGCTCAAAGCTGGGGCCAAGGGGTGGTGTTGCAAAGAAACCAGCATACAAGCCGCAGAAACCTAGTTATCGGTTCTTAGGGAAGTGCTACAATTATGGTAGCGAGGGGCGTCGGGCTAGTGACTGCTGTAAGCAGAGGAAGCCATACAAAACCAATCCTCGTGCTCACATGGCAAATATGCAAGAGCACTCCCATGATGAGGATGACATGCACTTGTCTTCCGCTGTCTCTAAGGTGAATATGGTGGGTTCAAACCCAAGAGAATGGTGGACTGATACTGGGGCTACGAGCCACATCTCCTCCGAGAAGAAGCTGTTTACAACTTTCGATCCGGTTACAAACGGCGAGAAGTTGTTTATGGGGAATTCTGCTAACTCAATTGTTGGGGGGAAATAAAAGGTGGTCCTGAAGTTGGCCTTAAGAAAGGAGCTAACCTTGAATGAAGTCCTGTATGTTCAGGACGTTCGTAAGAATCTTGTCTTGGGGTCTCTTCTCAGCAAACATTGTTTTCGCATGGTCTTTGAGTCTGACAAGGTCATTCTGACCAGGAGCAGAGTGTATACGGGTAAGGGATATATGTTGGGGGGTATATTTAAACTCAATGTAATGACTCTTATCCCAAAGCTGAATAAAGATGCATCTTCTTCTGCTTACATGCTTGAGTCTTCCAATTTGTAACATGGTAGACTAGGACATGTAAACTTTGAATCTTTACGTAGATTAATCAGGTTAGATCACATACCATCTTTTGAGATTAATCCGAAACACAAGTGTGAAACTTGTGTTGAAGCAAAGTTGACAAGATCTTTGTTTCATTCTATTGAAAGAACTTCAGAGCCGTTGGATTTGGTCCGTAGTGATGTATGTGACTTAAAGTTTATACAATCACGTGGTGACAATAAGTATTTCACCACTTTTGTTGATGATTGCACTGAGTATTGTTATGTGTATTTGCTTAAAAGCAAAGATGAGACTATTGACAAGTTTGTTCTTTATAAGAATGAAGTTGAGAATCAATTAGGCCGCAAGATTAAGGCTTTAAAAAGTGATCATGGTGGTGAGTATGAATCATTGTTTATTGAGATTTGTGCTCAATCCAAGATTATCCACCAAACCACGGTGTCTTATTCTCTTCAATCAAATGGGATTGTTGAGCGGAAAAATAGGACGGTAAATGAGATGATGAATGCAATATTGATAAGTTCTAGATTACCACAGAACTTGTAGGGGGAAGCAATTCTTTCTGCGAATTACATTCTAAATAGAATCCCTCGGAAGAAAGTAGACAAGACTCCATATGAATTAAGGAAAGGCCGCAAGCCTTTTTATAATTTCCTACGAATGTGGGGGTGTCTTGCAAAAGTGGCGGTACCTACACCCAAGCGGGTTAGGATAGCCCCAAAAATCATGGATTGTATATTCATTGGTTATGCACATAATAGTAGTGCATATAGGTTTCTTGTGCACAAGTCTAATATTTTAGATATCCACAAGAATACCATAATGGATTCAAGGAATGAGTCCTTCTGTGAAGACGTATTTCCTTGCCGAACTCGAGGAGAGGATCACAGTTTTGAGAAGGAACTTGAAGATGATCAAGATGAGGAAATAGATGAGCTAAGAAGAAGTAAGAGGGCTAGGACTGCCAAGTCTTTTGGCCCGGACTTCTTGACCTATATGTCAGAGGGAGAACCTCGAACTTTTCATGAAACTGTGACTTCACTTGAAAGTCTCGTCTGGAAAGAAGCAATTAAAAGTGAAATTTACTTCATCTTATAGAACCATACTTGGGAGTTGGTTGATCTACCCCTAAGCAGTAAGGCCTTGTGGAGTAAGTGGATCTTTAGAAGAAAGATGAAAACAGATATGTCAATTGATAAGTATAAAGCTAGGCTAGTTATCAAAAGATACAAGCAACGAGAAGGCCTGGATTACTTTGATATGTATTCACTTGTGACAAGGATTACATCCATTCGCTTGGTGATTGCGATAGCCGCGTTACGTAGTATGGAGATACATCAAATGGATGTAAAGATAGCTTTTTTAAATGGAGATTTAGATGAAGAAATCTACTTGGAACAACCCAAGGGGTTTTCAACTGCAGGGCGAAATAAGAAAGTCTGTAAGCTTGTCAAGTCATTATATAGTTTGAAGCAAGCTCATAAACAATGGCATGAGAAGTTTGACAACGCTATGTTGTTAAATAGATTTAGGATCAATGAGTATGACAAGTGTGTTTATGTTAAATACACTGACAGAGGTTATGTCATTTTGTGTCTATACGTAGATGACATACTTATTGTTGGTAGTAATGATGAAATAATTCGAACTACTAAGAGATTGTTCAACTCTAAGCTTGACATAAAAGATATGGGCTTTGTAGATGTCATTCTGGGTATTAAGATTACCAGAACATCTAGTGGTATTGTACTTTCTTAGCCTCACTATGTTGAGAAGATACTTGAAAAATTTGATAAATCAGATACAAGTGTGTATAGGACACCGGTAGACGTGAGTCTACATTTGACCAAGAATAATGGTGAAAGTGTCTCTCAGCTAGAATATTCTTGGGTCATTGGAGGTTTGATGTATCTGATGAGTTGTACAAGGCCGGATATAGCCTACTCTGTAAGCAGGCTTAATAGATACACGAGTAATCCTAATGCTACTCATTGGAGGGGCGTTATGTGGGTGTTAGGTTATCTACGTTACACCCGGGGTTATGGGCTACATTATAACAGATACCCAGCGGTACTAGAAGGATATAGTGACGCTAATTGGATATCTAATATACAATACTCTAAATCCACTAGTGGTTACGTGTTTACCCTCATAGGGGCAGCCGTGCCTTGGAAATCTTCCAACCAAACGTGTATATCGAGATCAACGATGTAATTTGAGTTTATTGCTTTGGATAAAGCAACTGAAGAAGCTGAATGGCTTCGCCAGTTCATTGAGGATATTCCACTTTGGTCGAAACATGTGCCTGCTATTTGTATTCATTGTGATAGCCAATCGGCAATTAGACGGGTGCAAAGTCATATGTATAATGGAAAGTCCAGACATATCTGTCGTAAATATAATTTCATACAACAACTACTCTCTAATGGAGTTGTCTCTCTAGTCTATGTAAAGTCTAAGGATAACATTATGGATCCGCTAACCAAATGGTTAACTCGAGAGTTAGTAGAAACGTTGTCAAGATGATTGGGGTTAAGGCCTTTAGTAATGTTACCGGAACGGAAAACCCAACCTAGTTGACTGGAGATCCCAAGATCTAGGTTCAAAAGGACAACCTAATTTCGTGTAATGGGTAAGTCACTGAAGAGGTAAATCCTCTTACCAATTCCTTTGTATAGTGATACCCTGTGAGGGTAAAAGGTTAAGCTAATGCTTTTAATGACTTAAGTGATATGAATAATCAACCGTAGTATAACGAGATACCTTATATAGGTCACCTGTGTGAGTACCAAATGGGGCCACTTCTTTAAGAATTGGTAAGGTCGAATTCTTTAAAGCCACTCATTGAACTAGGCTAGTGTTCTAGGGCCATATTGGATATACCAGTGAGAAAAAGAACAATGGTTTGACTAACTCCTGTGTGAGGTCTATTGTCTCGGTTTACACGAACGGCAGAATAGTTCAAGACATCACGTTCACTGATCAACCAGTAAATCCGATAGACTTTCACTATGAAAGGTTCAAGGCCAATAACTACCTTTTCTGATATACGGTTAGTTTGTGTGCTCTCTCTCCGAGTCTTTGTTGTAAATGTTGTCCGTTTTCTTTATTCAGTCAATTTTTATTCATGTGGGGGATTATTGGAAGAAATAGGTTTTTGGTATCTTTAATGTGAAATTAAAGTAGGTCCCAACTATTGGTTGATGTGGGATTAAATGGGTTTAGATTCTTTGTAACAAGGTCTTTACACCACAAACACAATGACCAAAAACCATTAAGAATTGATTAAGAAATTGTCTCATAAAGATGGCCTCATGAATGAGGTATTGAGAATTGTGTATAACTACCAATCCCACATTGATTGTAGAGGAAAACTTTGATGGGTATTTAAACCTTAAGATTTTGATAAGGGCATGAACCCTTTGAGGCATCCAAATTTTTCGAAGGAAGTGAGTTACGGATGCTTCAAGGATGGGCTTGGGCCAAGACTATGGTCCAAGTTGGTTATGGCAAAATTGCCATACGCGCGTGCACAAGTGCCGTCGGCCTACCCGGACCGGGTCCGGGTCCGTGGTCCATGATCTGTGATCCATGGATCTTGGGCTTGGGCTTGAGGCTTGCTGGAATGGATTAGGTTTGGGCTAGGACAGATTGGTGGTCCACCAACCTAATTTTTTTGGGCCAAGTCTGCTATAGATATACACACTTATGTATACAGAAAATATATATCAGATATTTTTTCTTTAATGTGAAATTAAAGTAGGTCCCAACTATTGGTTGATGTGGGATTAAATGGGTTTAGATTCTTTGTAACAAGGTCTTTACACCACAAAAACAATGACCAAAAACCATTAAGAATTGATTAAGAAATTGTCTCATAAAGATGGCCTCATGAATGAGGTATTGAGAATTGTGTATAACTACCAATCCCACATTGATTGTAGAGGAAAACTTTGATGGGTATTTAAACCTTAAGATTTTGATAAGGGCATGAACCCTTTGAGGCATCCAAATTTTTCGAAGGAAGTGAGTTACGGATGCTTCAAGGATGGGCATGGGCCAAGACTATGGTCCAAGTTGGTTATGGCAAAATTGCCATACGCGGGTGCACAAGTGTCGTCGGCTTGCCCGGACCGGGTCCGGGTCCGTGGTCCATGATCTGTGATCCATGGATCTTGGGCTTGGGCTTGGGCTTGAGGCTTGCTGGAATGGATTAGGTTTGGGCTGGGACAGATTGGTGGTCCACCAACCTAATTTTTTTGGGCCAAGTCTACTACAGATATACACACTTATGTATATAGAAAATATATATCAGATATTTTTTCCCATTAGTTTTGGTCCATTAGTCCAGCTTTTTTGCAATAGTAATGGCTATTAGTTGCCAGCCTTCATGGCCATTGATTGATAGCCTTGATAGCTGGAGGCTCCTCCTCTCTTCTCCATGATGTATAAAAGGAGATCATCTCCCTTGGTTTGGTTACATAATTTTTGCCTTCGAGATACAGTTAGTTTGCTTCCTCTTATAATTTTCTTCCTGTGTTGAGAGAGTGCTGTCATTGTCGGTTCGCCAAAGCTAACAGAAGGTGCTTCTGCGTTAGTCGGTCTAAACTATCTTATCCTGGGAGACAGAAGTTGACGTTCCTCCAACACTCACAGTGAGACGGCTAATCTGTTTTAAGGATACTATGGTATTACACAGAATTTGGTTTGATTCCTTATTTTCCAATATTTCGATTAAATATTTATTTCTATTCTTCATGTTTCATACTTTAGAATGTAATTTATCAAATATGGATTTATTTGATGTTCTATTATTTAAATTAATAAATCATGAATCTATTTATCTTGTTAATTACACAATTTTAATAACAATATTAAAAACTCATCACAAAATAATGATGAAAACTCAATTGGAGGGCATGGTTTAAAGTAAAAAATGACTATAAATGATGAACAACCTTATGTTCATGATAAATTTAATATTTTTTAAATTGTTCAAAATATGAAATTTTTTAGAATTTTTGAGTCATGCAAAACCATGAGTTATGACATTCAACACCCATTTGGGTTTGTGGATCACACCAAAACTTAATTTTGGTGAATTGGCAAAAGATTCAACATTGTTTGAATAATATAAGACCAAAGAATATAGTTGTTGTTGGTAAAAAGTGGTCTATGCATGTCTCACAATATATATTTTATATATGTTTGTTTGGTAAAAAGGTCAAGGCCAAATCAATTTTATATACAAATTTTAAAGAATTCGAAATTTCTTATTCTTAAAGAGTTGGGGGCATTATTTGCACCATAAATATTTTTCTATCGATTAAGGTCTATTGATTGTAGCCAAATCTAATCTTATTGATTGTGGCTAATCGATTGTGACCAAATATAATTTTATTGATTGTGGCCTGTCAATTGTGACCTGTCGATCATATTCAAATCTAATCTTATTGATTTTGGTCTATCAATTGAGACCATAAATCATCTTTAAAGATCTACTATGACCATATTATTATTATTATTGTTATTATTATTTGTTTTGTTATGGTTTACAGGTGATGAAATAGGCTTAGAAAATGGGGGCAAGTTGTCAACGTGTGGCAATTTGTGGCACTTTGTAAGGAATATGTCTTGATTTTGTTTCATGGCCAAATTGCCTCCAGCAGTTATACTTCGAATAGAAAATTGTTAATTGTTACTCTACAGATAGTTGAAGACAGATTGGAGAAGGGTTCAAAAAATCATCAAATTTATCATAGTTTTTTTCTTTATCTTTAGGAGTAGATTATCTTAACTTAAGAGTAGGTTTTTCTATAATTTGTAACTTGTAATTCTTGTAAACCTAATAATTTCATTTGGAGTTGTCTTTATTTATTTGGATACTTTACTCTTTCAATTGTTAATTGTTTCAAAGAAATCTTTGTACTTTCAAGACATTTAGAACGTTTACATAATCGTTTGATTTTCTGTTTAGTTATTTAGTTAAAATTGTTATTAAGTCTCCGTCAATTAAGAGTTACCATAATTTTTTACTGACAAGAATCAAACGAACCTTTTTGAAATGTAACTCTATGGATACCAACAATGATCATACGAAACCAACCACTCTTCCTTCGTTCCTTATCAAACTGTTCAGCATAATTTATCCAAAACGCACACCAATGTATTGCAACTTAAATCGAATTTTGCATGGAAGTGTGATTTTGGACCTGGTGTAACCAAACATAAAAATTATGATTGGTTACCTCAGCAGGGTGAAATTGCAATACAACTCTAAACCTTATGAGAGAAATGTAATTTCAGAATTTCATGAGTATTAATGTTTTTTAGACAAACCTCAGCGGTGTTAGTGTTATTTATCCAAATATTTAATATAAAATAATTTGACAAAATTATTGTGAAAGTTCTTCAAACTAGTTGATTTGGGGGAGGCAACATTTATAACGTGGGAAATTCTAATATATACACCCTTGAAAGGGGTGTATTATATGCATTTTTAGTTATATTATTATTTTTTTTAATTATGATTATTTTTTTCTTTAATTATAACATTATTTTTGTCATAACTGATGAGATTTTTAATTCTATATGCCTTATGTTATATTTAGGGCTAGTTTGGCATGTACTAAATAAGCTAAAAAGTCAAAAAGTTACTATCTCATTTAAGTCACATCATCTTATTTAAATCACATCACCTCTCTAACACATCACATCAAACCCAACCCAAACCCACCAATAAGTCAAAAAGTGCACTTTTTTAGGACATCCCAAACCAACCCTTAGTTATGACAACTTTTTTTACAAGAATAATATATTTAATAAATTTTATACATTAAATAATTTGAATTATCAATATGGACCGAATCAAGTCGCACCAATGCCCAATACTCTTCTCAAGTGAGGAGTCGTGTCCTTAAAAATAAGAGCAATGCTACGTACCACTAATTTGTCATTACTAATCCCATCATTAGTTAGGTGACAATTAAAAAAAAAAAAAAAAAGGCACAAACACATGTGATAGTGGATGAGACTCACTGTTACATCTCCACCGCCCATGACTTCATGAAAACTACTTTATATATATTATATGTAGACTTCTCTCTCCATTGACTGCTCTTCCATTTCTTATGTGGAAACAATCATCGATTTGGTTACGAGCTCAAATCAAATTGAATTGAATTCTCACAAATTCAGGAATCAATGGCTATCGGAGAGCTCTTAATCGCCGCTTCAATCAAGTTTTTATTTGAGAAGTTGGCCACTTTAGCCGCCGGCGAGCTGTCGAACTTTGCACGCGGCTTCGGCGGAGAGCGGCGAATTCGTACTCTGTTGACAAAATGGAGCACAACTTTGGAAGAAATTGAGGCAGTTCTCATTGATGCTGATGAGAAGCAAGTCACCGAAAGAGGTATTAAGATTTGGCTTGAAGATCTTCAGGACTTGGCTTATGACGTCGATGACATACTCGACGAGTTCTCCACCGAAGCTTTGCGACCTAAGTCGATGATCACTACCAAGGTACGTGCACTAATTCCAACCAAGATTGTCAAATTAGATGAGATCACTACCCGATTCCAAGATCTTTTGGAACGTAGAACTGTGCTCGGCTTGCAAAAGGTGGGTAGTAGTAGTAATGCAGGGACATCTGCTAAAGCTTGGCAAAGACCACCCACCACATGTTTGATGAATGAACCTAGTGTATATGGGAGGGATGACGATAAAAAGAAGATAATTGAGTTTCTCTTACTAGGTGTTGAGGAGTCAAGCAATTGCTGTTGGACAATATTCACTGTATTTAAGTAGATTAAATTCTGTTATGTACTAAACAACAACTAAAATATAAAGAAATAAAAGAAATGAGAGAATTTATTTGATTACAAAAATCAAACTAGAAATAAAACAAAATAAATAAAAATAGATTTTATTTTGTTACAAAAATAAAATTAAAATCTGATTTAAATAAATAAATAAAACAGAATAATAAATTATACAACTTAGTTGATTAATTTCTTTGAATAATTATCTGATCAAGTCTAGTGTTTGACACTGTGTCCTTAAGACAGATTCGTCCTCTCCATGGTGCTTTCAGAATTTGGACGTCTATCTTCCAAGATAAAATGATCTACTACAAACAATAGCAGCACTACAAATTGTTTGCCTAACGAACACACTAAGTGTTTATACTCTCTCTGACAAGAAAATAATGCAGCAAAATGAAGAGGATGTTTGCAGAATTATGAAGGA